TTTGGAATGAGGGGTCAGCGGTGCAGGGGTGATAGTTGGAGTGAATGGCGGTGCCCATTGTCAGAAATTTTACGATTTTAATTAGGGTGCACTCATATTTCGTTCCAGCGATGCCAGATGGCATGTGCAGTTTGAATTTCTTCACAAATGCTTTTATTATAAGTACAAAGGAAAGGCGAGCGAAACTTTTTCATTCTTCTGGTTCATATCGTGTCTTCTACAGCTACGTTTCGTTGAGTTCGGCAGTAATAGTATTTCCATTCTTCCTGTTATTGTTCGCGAAGCGGGGGGGACAGCAGAGGAAGACGACGAATGCGAGCCCGAAGCTTTGCCGAGTTTTGCCGAAGCACACGCTGCATTGGCGAAAGTGAAGTCGTTCTTTTATGCGCTTAATATTAGTGAACGTGACGAAGAAAACATTTTGAACGTGGAAAGTGCTCTGTTTGGTCTAAAACGTAAAGTTTCAACAAACCAGTTGTCCATTAAAGACTTTTTTGGTAAAAAGAAGTAACTTTGAAAGAGAAACATTGTTTTTTTTTAAATTTTTAATGCTTTCCCGCATCTATCGTTTTCCCGCATTCATCGTTTTTATTTCCCACCCCCGCCGAAAACGATGCATCGAGGTTTCACTGTAATTACATGAATTGCCTGAGAATAAGGATTATAGCATTAAATTTAAATTCATCAAAGGAATTCTGGGCAGAACTCAAAAAGTTTGCTTTCTTATTGCACTGACTTCGTCCTGCAAAATTTGTAATGTTAATGTTAATATTTTCTAACTCTGTCACCCATCCCTCAGTACATACTGATCTGTAATTTACAATTTTTTTAAAATTTTAGTGATTGCTTTGTATGGGCAGTAAAAAATTATACAGCACCACCAACGGATCTAAAACTCTAGATAATAAGTGAACTGTGATGGAAGATTCCACTTCTACCCCTGCTTTTGGAAATAATTTTTTCCCCCTCTAGTAAGCCACTGTTTGCTCTCTCTCTCTCTCTCTCTCTCTCTCTCTCTCTCTCTCTCTCTCTATATATATATATATATGTATCTATCTGTCTGTCTCTCTCTGTGTGTGTATGTGTGTCTTCTACTGGCCATTGCCTTATGATTTACGATTTACACTATTGTCTCACAAATACCATATTGTAAGATTTGAGCAGTGAGTATGAAGATTTCTGTCTTCTGGGCTGTTGTGCTGTGTAGTCTGGTCGATGTTAACTAACGTCTCAGAGGTCTTACTGCCTCTGTCATCAGGGCGATGAATCGCCCTGATAACATTGGTTAACATCGACCAGACTACACAGCGCAACAAACCAGAAGGCAAATACAATTAGGTGACTTATTTAAAATATAATGTAAAACAATCCAGTGAAAGCATCATCTGGCTTCTCAACTTCTTGGTTACAGTATGAATGAATATATGTAATTCTCATAAGGTTTAAATGTTAATTATTATAGTCATTCAGGGACCTCATTCTTCATGATTTAAGTTTTCAGTTAAGTTACAATGTTTGATATCAGGGAATTATGTAGAAATCTACCAGACTTTTATTACCATTGCTGAATGAACACTAGATGCAGCATGGAAACTTTAATTTTTGTATGTGTGTAGTAAAGATAGTTGCTAGGAATATATTACAACTAAACAATATTCCTAAAAGTGAGTTGTTTTTTAAGGTATGATGTTCCAAGTCCAAGTGTTGGTGGTTCTTCAGTGGTAATATCATGTTGGAATGGAGATGCATCACAAGTGGGTGTGTCTAGATCAATAACTCCACCAAATGTGGCCTCTGAACGTTCAGCGACTTGCAGTTCAATCTACTGTTTTCTCTGTGGACTTCATTCTGATTTGACATTAGCTCGTGTGCTTTATGGAAGGCCACAGGTGAGATTTAAGAATTTTCCATTGTTTGTCATACGTAGTACTTGGGAATGGGGAGAATTAGTGGAATTAGAAAGTAACTGAGAGGATGTTAAAAGTGCAGTTGTAAAAAAGGCCATAATATCTTTAATCTATATTCCTTTCTTTCACCATGCCAATTGGCCTCCTCCTATAAAAACACCACATCCCCTTCCTAATTTACTTTAACCCTAAAGATGGAGGTGGTACATTCCCCTGAAACATTAGTAACTGCATACAAAACTGAAAAGTGTTACAACCCATAAGACCCACAATTGACGATTTTGTCTTATTCTGTATGGGTGTGAAGAACAACCTTGTAGATTGAGATTGTTTGAGATCAGAGTGCTGAGGAGAATGTTTGGACCTCAAGTAAAGGAAGAACAAGAGGCTGGAGAAAATTTGTTATTGAGAAGTTTCATGATTTGTATTCTTTACAATTTCTTAACCAGCTAAGCAACTATTACTTTCTCAAGAAGGACTCTGCTTCATGGAGTTCGGTATGTATAACTTATGGATCACATGAGCGTATGTATTATATTTAGTCTCTACTATTCTACAGAATTGAATTTTATCAAATCAGATTGTGTGAAAAGTTGGTTGAATCAATTCCTGTCACTCCATTCTTCATTGCCACTTTTAAACACCTGTTCAGTCTATTCTTGGCAATACCTTTTGCCTGCAGTTTCCAGTGTGCTTGGGAAATTGGGCTCAAAGGAGTTGGCTGTTCATTATTTAGGCTGGGGCCACACGACCGTACAAAGTACGTCCGTTGTACATTCGTGTGGCCCCAGCCTTAGTTGGTACCATTCTTGTATGCACAGAAAATGTAGGCTTCTTAACAGCATAGTTTATTGTCTTGGCTGCCAGTGGTTGGAGACATGGCAGGTAATACCTTATCGTGAAATGAATAGCTCAGTCAGTATAGTGACTAGCTACGGGCTGGATGACCGGGGTTCGATCCCTGAAGGGCAGAGGATTTTTTCTCTAACCTCTACGTCCAGACCGGCTCTGGGACCCACCCAGCCTCCTCTACAATGGGTACCGGGGTCCTTTCCCGGGGGTAAAGCCGGCCGGGGCGTGATGCCAACCACTCACCCCTATCTAGTGCCGAGGTCAAGAAAGAGAGGAGCTATACCTCCACTCACCCCAAGCGCCTTTACGGCATGTAGCGGGACAAACTTTACTTTTACCTTCTCGTGAAGGGCCTTGAACAGCCTCCTTTCATTTAATTTTATTTCAGCCCAAGTTGATTATAAGAAACTCCACAGTATTTACAGTTATTTCAGTCGGTCCTGAATATCAGCTGGCTTCTGCACGTGTTTGGTAATAAAAGCATATATTACGTGATTGCTGGATGGAATATTATTTTGTAATGGTTATTGTGATTTTCTTAGGGTCGGAATGCACCTTTCTTCCCGTCATTATTGCGACATGTGTCACCCCCCAACGCAGAACAGCTAAGGGAGGATGGTTCAGCTTTGGTTTGCACTTTCTGCTATCACTCTCTGCTGGCCCAGTGGCGTCATTACGAGCAGCTTCAAGGAAGTGGGTCCGCCATAGTAGCTGACAAACGAGAATATAACACACATGATTACTGCTGTTATGTATGTGGTATTACAACGTACAGAATACGTGTTCGTGCACTGCCTGTCAAGGTAACGGAATTCTCTTGGTTGGCATTATTCTTCATGTTTGTGTGCTCTTTATTCAAAGAATAACTTGACTCATTCCCAAAAGTAATCATTACCTCTGAAGTATAATTTAATTTACTTGCCGTTGCAGGTCTGAATGATTTTGTATAAAACATGAAGAGCCATTCTCACAGTTCATTTACTGCCACATAATTCAGATTATAATCCATAGATGGTGGAAACAGCTTTTAGTTACAGTACTTCCTTTCTAAGTGAGCAGTTGCCAAAATCTTTGTTTTGGAAGCTCCAACTTAGAATTTAAATAAGATATTGATAGTTCAGGGACACACTACTATGGAATAAGGGTTAAGGCTGAATGATCTGAAGCTTTGACAGCGACAAAGTATAATGAGTTCTTTTTGGGCTACCAGCCATATCAGGTGGTTGAATGGAGAAAATACCAATGAAGATGGTTCTTGAAATGTTGGTGTATTCTCCATTCAACCACCTGATATGGCTGGTAGCCCAAGAAGAATTCAATATAAGGGTTAAGGCATTGTTGCAATCATAGTACCTGTCACGACAAGAACTGGCAATAGAAGGATATGTTGCATTTATACATGATATTTGTGTACTTCCTAGATATTAAAGTGCATGAAATTCATACATGGTAGTACTCATACCGTAGAAGTGCTGTATATTTACATTCATCAGTATTTGTTAATTCAAAACACTTGTACGGCCACATAAGAAATGCACCTCTTGAAATTAATTAAAATGTGCTAAACTTTCCTGTAGAGTAGAACAGCAGTAACTTAGTAGGCTTAAGTAACCATTGCTTTAGGAACGTTTTTCAGAGCAGTCACTATAAGATGTGTGTGCAGGCAGGCATGGGCTTGTACATGCCCTTTAAAATTAATAAAAATCAATTTAAACTGAGCATGGCAATACTTGCATACCCGGTACCAAATTTAATCAAAATCTGTCTATGTCAGGACTTAATTAGGTCATTAAGTGAAGTGGCCGTATGGTGAATTGAAGTAAATGATACATGATAATATTTATGTGATGGAAATGCTGTATTTTAAGTTTCATGAAATTATGTTATAGGATTCAGAAGATAAGTGTGAAGGTTAATTTATACCTTTGAATAGTGTTTCTTAAACTGAATAGTTGTAAATGAAACTAGTATGTGATAATAGTTGGATAATAGAATTACCGTATAGAGTTATATTAAAATTTGCCAAATCACTGAAAACATGTGCATAAGAGTTCAGTTAGGCCTTTTATATAAAGGGATTCTTAAAATTTGCCTAATAGAGATAAAGATTTGTGGACAAAGTTGTATAGGTCCATCATATGTGAATGAAATCAGCCTAGTAAGGCACTGTTAGTGTATGGACAGACAGGTGGCCATGACAAGTTCAAAGGTACTTTACAAATTTTTTATGAAATGCTCTTAAAATAGGTCTAATGGAAAATGTGGAAACCTAGAAACTAGAATCCAGGTAGCCCTCGATTTAAGCCTGGGATGTGTTCCTGGACGAACCGATGTAAACGGAATCGGCGTAAATTGAAACTCTTTTATAATGTAAATCAATGGGAAGTCAATGACATGCATTCCCAGCACCCAAACATTGACAAGTAATATAATGGCATTACAGTTAAAGCTCTGAAATAATGTAAATAAAATAAAGGGAATTTAAAAAATATATTTTATACAATTGGCAATTCGTTGGTCCCCGCTGTTGACTGCGATTCTTTCACGTGATTGATGTGTACAGTCATCTCTGCTGTTATGCGATAGTAGCTTTCATGTAAGACGCTGACCTATAGAAAATCATGTAGTAAAAATAACCCCGGTACCTCCACAGAGATTAAATTAGTCCTTTGAAAGTTTAAAGCGCCAGGAATGAAATTGCATAAGAACAAACTCGCATATGCAAAAGTTTGCAGTTCACAAACAGCTTTTACCGATTCATCGATCTCATCGGAGCAAATTCACATTAACGAAACATACTTCATTGCAGAAATAACTGTATTTATAATTTTTATTCAAAATCAGCGATGTAATAATTACGATTTAGTATAAGAATCAGTACGAGATACATTATAAAACTTTATAAATAATAGTAAAAATTTTTCTTTCTTTCACTTTTTGACTTGTTGGTATCAAAATCGGCGTTTTTCTGAATCGGTGCAGATTGAACCAGTGTAAATCGAGGGCTACCTGTATCATTATATGTACGCAATTACAGGACTTCCCATTTTTGCGATATCATCGTCAGCCAGAACGTAGCTTGTTGCTGGAGAATGGAGACTTTGCTGTAGTATGCCTGGATTGTTATGAAACATTACGTACACAATCACTGGAGTATGAACGTTGGGGACTGCCTGTTGAGAAGCGAGAATATAACTGGATCACTCAGCCACCACCTCCAGAGGACTCTCCAGATGCAACAGTAGCAAGGCTACCATCTGGAGAACGCTCAGAAAAACAAGTAAGTTAGTTTTTATCTCACTACAAAACTTTTGAGTTACTACCAACTTGAATATTAAATTTAACTTAGGTCCTGTTTTTAATGCATGAGTCCCATTGGTGGTTGCACTTAGAACATGTAAATACTGGAACAAATTGAAAACTGGTAGTTAGTACATAGTAATAATATTTTTATACACAAAAGCATCATAGAGGAACAAAACTGTAAGCATATACAGCGAAAATGGTGATACCCTTGGTTAAGAAATAACTAAAAGTGGAAATAGAAAAATTCAATTTCCAAGCAGCAACGTGTGGCTATTAAAGTAAAGTACCATGTATCGTAGTTTAGTGCATTAAATGGAAATGAGTGGTTAGTTTCACACTGTGTTTGTTGTACGTCTGAAGAAAGAGTCTTTGGGGATCCCAGTGCCATTTAGGATGTGGCAAAGGAAATTTCTGCCTCTTCTGAGAAATTACTCCATTGTTCAGACCATAGTCAGTCACTTTAATGCTTAACCTATTCCACCTTTCTTTATATTAATACTAATAAAAAGAGTTTTTAATTTAATTTAGTAAATTATTGCAGGTGCCTCCAGTGATAACAGCCCGTCCTTCCCGTAAGAATTGTTCACCAAAAACTACTGCTGATCTGAAGAAGCAAACTCCAGCCATGAGCAAAGCGCATCAGTCATCAGCGAACAGTGGTGAAAAGGTGGAACAAGGTAGGGAGCTTCATTTTCTGATAGATTGTTCAGTAGTAATGTAGTTTACAGAATGAAAATAATTACATAGTAAACTTTTATAGTCTTAAATTATTCTACTACTGACATTCAAAATTTATGTATTAGAACAGATGGGAATTAACATACTAAATATCTATTTATTATTTATTTATGTCAAATGGCAGGTACATAGAATTTCATCTTTGACCCATTTTTTGCCAAGTTTGTAGACCACTTTGCCATCAGAGTTGTTGCCCAGGGTGCACCACAAAGAGGTAGGTCTACTTTGCACCCCATACTAAATATCTTTATGTTGCCATTTTAGGTTACAGCGTTGGTAACAGATTTCTTCCAAATATATAGCAGTATTCAGTTCACAGCGTAATTATGCCCAGTTTCAATTTTGTGTAAAGCTACAGACATTGATAAATTGCAATACTATATAGATGTGGGAGCTGTTACATAATTGACTTGTATTTAATCTGTTTGCACTTGTTTTAAAACAAAATATTAAAATCCCTATTTCTTTGACCATCATCATACCATTAATTTTATGCCATAGGTCTGGTTAGTCCAGCTTTCTCTCTAAAAAATTGTAGTTCTTTAGAATCAGTAAAGTAAGGAAAAAGTATATGGTAAAATAGTGTTTCAAGTGTATACCCATGTTCACATACAAGTTTTGAAGCATGTTGTCTGAAAAACCAATTTCTGGTTGTAATTACTGTAAGCCAGGCAGCCACGTTATGGTGAAAGTGTAAGTGCGTTTCACACAATCTGTTTCCTGCAGTAGATAAGGGCCAACATAGGAATCTAATGAATCGAAGCACGTGTACAGATGGCAAGAGTTTTAGCAAGGACGTGAAAGACTAAATTTAATTTTTATTATTTATTCCATTTTTATCTGTGTGAGTTATGCCCAGAGTATGTAAATAATATGAAACGTCAATGTTTATAGCATTCAGTAGTATTTATTTGGTGCTTTATGTTTTATAGCAAGTGTGACATTTAAATACTTCCTTCATCTGTTTATGTTACAGCTGATTAATTTACTTGGAAAGTGATATCAAATTTGTCATACATAACTACTGAGTTTGTCACAGCAGTATTGCCATACAATATTTCATACAGTTTATCTTCTGGATAAACATTTTCAAATGCTGCTAGGTTTTCTGGGCAGATTTTTTCAACTACTTCCATCATAAACTGAAAGTTTGTCTAAGTCATTCCTGTGACCTATTCTTTTCTTCCAAATTTGACACCTTTGCAGCGTATTCTTTGTATTTTGAATTGAAGTGGTATTCAAGATGAAATCTTTGCACACTGAAACTGCTGTTACCACAGACAAAGCACATAGCACCAGTCCCACCTCTGCGAAGAAATATTAGAAACTTTGCTTTCTTATACTCATTAACTATTTTCATTATTAAGAAAGTGACTTCTGCATTGTATTCAATAGGTATTAAACCCCATGTAATTCAGTTTGGACCACATATTTAATTTAAGATTCAGGGCCAAGTATCATTATGTCTTTTCGATGTAATCAGTTCTTTAAGGCCCTTCAGATGGTCCAAACTAGTGCTTTCCACCAATCTGTGCTCAGAAGAGTGCAAAGTTGCCCATCCAGGTGCCTTATAGTAAACAGTAAACCATACCAGTAGTTTGAAAATTTCCTGAAGTGTTCCCAAGTTGCATTTTCAGAATGTTTCAGTCAGCAAGATACAGTACATATTCTAGCACAAGGTTAACTGAAGTAAATAGGAACTCTGAGTTTCTTCTCCTCTGTTAACATTCTATGATATATCATCATGTTCATATGTGTGATTCTGTGTTTTCATTGTTGAGCTTGGTCCTGATGTCTTTCTTAGAATGACCCTTCCTGGTATAAGTTTTCAGGTTTCAAGGGATTTGTAAATATTGACAGAGAAGTCAAATCCACAAGTCCATGCCTTATAATGTTCCACAGGAGCAGTAACCAAGAACAGTAACTATTGCTGCCTGACCCATCTGCAGTAGACCTCTTTTTCTTGTGCCCAGCTTTTACAGAAAGGCCATGGAACACAGCAAAGACTAATTTATAATTTTACATAAATAATATGTGTAACTAAATTCTCACAATATTTCTTTGAGTCACAGCAGAGGACTATTGAAGTCTGGACACAGCTTGCTTATCGTAACTGACACATGCCCGGTACAGGGCATGAAACAGAGTTTAGAACAATGTTAATCATTTGTATAAAGTCCTTAACATTTATTCTTCTAGGCTTACTAGCTTCCATGGATGATGATAGGTATAATTGTGCAGGGATCAAGCAGAATATTGGAATTAAAAAATAAACTGTGTAAAGACTGTGTATTTGTATCAGCCCTGACATGAAATGAATTATGTGTATGGAAATGCAGATTGGGTTCTTTGGTGTTGTGGCTTGGAAAATGACTCAGGAAGGAAATACATGTATTGCAGGTACAAAAACAGATTAATGATACTTGGTCTGTTGGTGATTAAAATTGGCACAAAACAAAACATGCTGAAAACAAAAACTTTGAGTGTTGTGTGAACAATGTTTGGAGCTCTTCTTTCAACAATTAATTGTGGAATGAAAGAGTTGTGTGCATTTCCAGCATGGCAGAGTATACCAGGAAACATTGCAAATAGAAATTCATTGAAGGCCTTACTGTTTGTGTTTGATGAACAAATAAAAATAATCAGTGAAGGGCATTGGCTATAGCATTGCACATACACGAGGGTGTCAAATTTTTTACCATTTAACAGGCTTGAAGCAGATGTTTATATTCACCCACTCTGCTCCACATTACATTGTAATGTCGTTTAACTGTTATTCCCACCGGCATGAATTCTTTCGTAGAGAAGTTAGTGTATTTTTACGTGTGTTGGTAGGATTGCTTTGTGGTGACGCGTGCTTGAGCGATGATCGATATCAGGCGGGCACAGAGCAGGTGGGGAAAGAGAATGGTGGGTGGGTCAAATATATCCCACCACCCTTCACTTGACCTGACCGCAGCCCACAGGCCCCATTCGTCGTAGAGTCAAATTCTGAAGTCCGTTTATTGCACAGATGTGATAGGATTTGTTTTGTTCTTGGGGAACCTCGAAAGGAAAATTTACATTTGTTTATTTGATTGACTATTATTGCCAACAAATTCTAACTATGGAAGTACGGTGGATTCCGGTTAATTGGGACACATCGGGCCTGAACACTGGCCCAATTAAGCTGCTGCCCCAATTATGCGAAGTTTCACGTAAAGAGTTAAAAGGTTTATTCTTTAAGATTTGTCCCAAAGAAACCGATGGCCCAATTAACTGGAGTCTACTGTATTGCGATTTATGACTGAGTGCAACTGTTCTGTTGACGTTGGGATGACGGGTATCGGTTTATGGACAGGGTCGGCGTTACATTTTCATTCCGAAACGAAAATCGAAGAGTTCCTTTTTCAAATTAGAATTGTTCAGTGCTTCATTTCATCAAGAACAACTGGAATCAGATCAAGGAAATGTAAATTTTATTTGTACTGATACCAGGAGCGTGTCCACCTTGTGAATAACGAATTTTGCCCTATCACATTTCACCGTTTCATGTTTCTCTTGCCAACATGACTAAAAGGCAGTGAGTGTCCTGCTGCCATGCAACCTTCAGTCGTACCCACAATAGTTTATTGGATTTATGGAATCCTAAGTTTCACCTGTTTCTGATATATGCATGTCGGTTATGTTATTTTTCTTCGATCCTTTCAGTGTTTAGTCTGCAGTAACCTCGGGCTACCAGCAGTTCGATCAACGAAAGTGAGGAATTTTGTTCTGGCCATATAGAGTTATTTTTGCAAAAGAAAAAATGTCTGTCGGGAAGTGCCCGCGTTTCACTGTTTACCCTTCCATTTCTTCTCTTTATCTAGCATTACGAGTTGTTTGTGGTCGTTAGAGGAGGGTTGGAAAACCATTCGGTCGAACTCGGGCGCCAGCCGCACGGCAATTGTCGACCACAGATCGCTTTTCGCTTGTTATGTCTCGGCGTGTGTCGGACCCTTTCGGTAAGTCGAGTGTTTGCGGAAAGGAGAGAGTTACGAAGAAGATGGTGAAAGATGTAGAAATACTTCTCCAATCTTTAGTGCAAATTGTCTCGTTATAGTAGGTGACCCAAGGCAACTCCATGCCAGCACGAATAATATGAATTAGGTTAAATAATGAATGGCGGCATTGAATTACAGCATGCCGTGGAAGATAAGTTTTTTTCTTTGTTACTGCCTAGACAAGGACAGGAAGAAGCAAGCATGGGTCAGTTGTCTCCCCTACCCCCCTCTTATCCACTTATTCCCATTCCGTCTTAAGCTAGCACATCCCTTCCTCACTCGCAACCCTCTTAATTTCCTGTCTTCCTCTGGCAGTACTCAGTCCTTGTCTCGGCATTGATTTTCCCGGCGAATGTGGCAACAGCGCTGGCTGGATGCTGCAGCAGACTAATAGAGAAGATATCGGTATTTACAGCCCAACTTCCAGTTTACCAAATTTTTCAAGTGGATTGCATGCTAATTGTATATTCTTAACGTAAATTACAGCATTGTAATGGGTTTTTCAGGAGAAGTTTCGGTTACTGTATAGAACTGAACATGCACCGGTTACTGATGCGTAAATCAGTTTTTGTCCGATGGGTTGTCTTCGCTCCTTATGCACAAAATTAGAACTAGAATCGTTAAGAAGTGTGGTTGTAGTGCAGTAGCTTGATTAGTAAATTTCGTTTTGTAATGTTGGTATTGTGAAATGTACTGCGTTGACAAATCGACGAACTCCGTTCAACTGCAGTCAGTGAGAGACCGTCGGGGCAGTTGGTTGTGAGACTTGATTTTTTTGCGCCCAGTGCGATGGTATTGTTTATTTACGTGGACAGGGAGTGGTCGCTACATGATCTTGTAAACAAAGGACTACTTGAATCACGTACATATATCATTGCTGCTAGGAAAATAATTGTAGCAGGAAAAGGTGTTTGTAC